ATGGGAGGGCTTCGAGGGTGTATTTAAAATTCAAACTTACTAATCAGAAGACACTCTTTTGACAGTTGTCTTTCTATGTATTTATTTTACCTGCTACCAATCATTGCACTACCACAAAGAATGATGAAGTCCCAGGGACCTTGGGAAGAAGAGGTGTGGTCCCTGAGAAAAGGGTTGAGGGGGTGTTGAAGTAAAAATGTTGTACCAAATGGAAGTTTTTCAAAAAGGCACAGACAACAGTTATCTCTCCAAACAAATGGAAACTCTTAGCAGTAAACCTAAGAGTTTCTTTAGGCTGTGTTTACTAACGTGAAGAGCAACATCTTCCTAGGTATTAGGCCACCCCAAGTGTAGTTTAAAAATAAATAGTACTAGAAACGGAAGTGTAAACACATGCACGGTTTATCATTTCACCCCTGTGAGGTCAGCAGACATCTGTAACACACTTTCCCTACAGCAGCTAACAAAGGCAGCCGGGAGGTGGAGGTTGCAGTGAGCTGAGATCACGCCACTGAACTCCAGCCTGGGCGACAGAGCAAGACTCCGTCTCAAAACAAAAGAAAACAAACAAACAAAAAAATGGAGACTTCTCTATCCCTAACACTGATGACTTCCATGTGGGAGAAGAAAACAAAAGAGAGTAACTCATTTGATTGAGATGGGTAGGCTAGTGAAGCATTTGATAATAGATAGATCCAGTTTTCCCTTGAACCTGAGAGTATGTCTGACTTATTGATGTATTTATTCTTCAAAGGTTTATTAAGCACCAATTTTACATCAGGCCATCTGCTGGGTACTAGAGATCCAGAAATTTATAAGACCTTATATTTTATAGTATTTTTTAAATTGTTTTGTGTCTTGAACACTTACTATTGAGCATATTTCTAAAAATCCTTAGACTGCACAGCCTCAGTGTCAGGAAAACAATCAGGGACTGCGTTGACAGAAGAGGAAATTGGCAGCTTAGCTGAGAGCAGCACATATTAGAGACCATAAGTGAAGACATAACATTAAGTACCAAGAAATGTTCTAAGCACTTTATGTAAATTAACTCATTTGATGCTCAATCAGAAGACTTATTACTTACTAATCAGAAGACACTCTTTTGACAGTTGTCTTTCTATGTATTTATTTTACCTGCTACCAATCATTGCACTACCACAAAGAATGATGAAGTCCCAGGGACCTTGGGAAGAAGAGGTGTGGTCCCTGAGAAAAGGGTTGAGGGGGTGTTGAAGTAAAAATGTTGTACCAAATGGAAGTTTTTCAAAAAGGCACAGACAACAGTTATCTCTCCAAACAAATGGAAACTCTTAGCAGTAAACCTAAGAGTTTCTTTAGGCTGTGTTTACTAACGTGAAGAGCAACATCTTCCTAGGTATTAGGCCACCCCAAGTGTAGTTTAAAAATAAATAGTACTAGAAACGGAAGTGTAAACACATGCACGGTTTATCATTTCACCCCTGTGAGGTCAGCAGACATCTGTAACACACTTTCCCTACAGCAGCTAACAAAGGCAGGATGATGGTATCTGTTCTGAGTGTTTGGAACAACATCGCCACTTATCTTTATAGATTTCCTCAGGCACTCAATGGAGGGCCTGAAAAACATCAATGTCAAGGACTAGGCTGCTACGTTCTATGAGCTGGAGACGAACAAGGCCTCTCCTGATGCCTCTCCAGTCACGGGAATAATGGTTTTGAAAACGTCAGTGCTCCCTCTGCCTTGTACATTGTAATCTCCTGTAGTCCATCTGAGGCCAGTGCACACAGGGCCACAGTAGGCGATGAGTATTCCTGATGACAAATCTGCTATTTCAGTCTACTTCTTCATGTGATATCCCAAGTATTTTTTCCTAGAGGGGGAAAAATAGATTCTTAAAATTCCAAGTCAGATTTACTGTCGAAGTGAAAACATATGGCTGCTAACTCCGCTCTATCCCAGGCACGACCCAAGGCTCAGGAGACCATGTTAGTTTGGGGGAGGGTTTGGAGAGGTGACTGGCATTCTTGGTATGCCTGCAAGGAAAACATCAGCTAAGGTCTTAACGTTACACACCCAGAGTTAACAGGCTGGATCTTTTCTTGAAGATGGGAGGGCTTCGAGGGTGTATTTAAAATTCAAAAAAAAGTGGGTACTGAAAGGTCAATGACTATGGAGGTTACAACCCTCTCCTTTCAAAGTGCTACAGAATGGGTGAGGTGGCAGGACTGCAAGGTAACTATGTGAATGGTGCTCCACAGACAGAACAAAGAACCGAAGAGTAAATCAGAATCTCACAGTAGCTTGTTTGGCAGCCTTGTAGATAGAGTTGCTATTCATTCATTTGATCGATTCATTCACTGTTCTACAAGTTCTGGCTGAACATCCATGGTGTTATGTAGAGGAATGGGAGCTATGGGAGATTAAAGGAGCCATCATAAAATACACAATCTCACCCTTACAGATTTGCAGTTTAGTTGGGAAGATGACATGTACTCCTATGAAATGTGGAATACTGAGATAGTTAGGAACCCTGAGCTTCCGGAAAGCTTGTGCATGGGACTAGATTTCTCTCTTCCCACACTACTACAAGGACAGCACAGACAGCCATTGAGACACTTGGTGCCAATGGAAGTCCCAGGAGGCTTACTTCCCAGTGTCTTCTTTTTTTTCCGTTAAGGGACTCTGAGCACATGCCCCAATCCACATGTCCTTCACACTTCCATAGCTCATATCAGTTCATAAATATTCTTTATCAACATCCTTTATTTTTTTTGTACCCTTTGGAAAAATTAGTCATCCCCTCTCACATTATTTTTCTCCCCTCTCCTAATTTCCACTGACATGCTCCAAATTAAACTTAACTACGGCCAAGAGTTAAGATTAAGGTTTATGATAACTTGGATAAGAAATACATTTTGAATTGAAACTACAGATGTTAAAGAACTAGTGCCATCAAGTTCTGAAGCCTTTGGAAATCCGCTTTAGTATTCCTATGGAATAATTCATCTTTTTTTTTTTTTCTAATTGGAACTGTTTTTTTTTCTCCAGTACCAGCAGCCAAATTAAAAAAAAAAAGTATTCATCTCTCTTTCCTCTTTTTGATTACTAGAATTAGAACTGCCAGTTTTATAAAAGATTTATTGAAATATAATTGTGCTATAAAATTCACTAATTCAGTGAATTAGTATATTCACTTTTAGTATATTCACAGTTATGCAAACATCACCTCTGATTTTAGGACATTATCATCACTCCAAAAATAAACTTCACATCCATTAGCAATTATTCCCATTCTCTCACCCTCAGCTCCTGGCAACAAGTCTGCTTTCTGTATCTATACATTTGCCTGTTTTGGACACTTCCCATACATGGAATCATACAGTATATGGCCTTTTTGCCTGACTTTTTTTCACTTAGCACAATGTTTTTAAGGTTCATCCATGTATCAATACTTGCTTTATTTTTATAGTGGAATAATATTTCATTGGGTGGCTATACTACATTTTCCTTATCCATTCATCATTCATCAGTTGATGGACATTTGGGTTGCTCCCACTCTTTGGCTAATAGAAGCTATGAACATTCATGTGCACATTTTTGTATGAAAATATGTTTTCAACTTTCTTGGGTATATATCCAGGAGTGGAATTGGTAACTTTATATTTAACATTTCTGGGAACTCCCAAGTGGTTTTCCAAAGGGACTGCACCATTTTACAATCCAACCAGCAACATAAACGGTTCCAATTTCTCCACATCTTCACCAACATCAATACTTTTCCTTTTCATTTTAGCCACCATAGTGGTTAGAGCTCAATGTTGCTTTGATTTGCATTTTCCTACTGTTGAAATGAAGATGTCAAACAAGCCTCTTTTCATGTGCTTTTAGCCATTTATATATATTCTTTGGAGAAATGTCTATTCAAATCCATTGCTCATTTGAAAATTGGGTTATTTGACATTTTATTGTTCAATTATAATAGTTCATTGTATATTCTAGATATGTCTTTTATTAGAGATATTATTTGCAAGTATTTTTCCCCATTCCGTGGGTTGTTTTTTTGTTTGTTTGTTTTGTTTTGTTTTTTCACATTCTTGGTGGTGGTGTTCTTGGAAGCACAAAACAAAATCCAATGTATCTATTCTTTCTTTAGTTGCTTGTGCTTTTGGTGTAGAACCACTGCTTTTTATAGCATATTTATGGTATTTTAGCTACATTAGTGGATTAAATAGATTTTTGAGAGCTGGCCTGTGAACCCAATTGATAATTATAATTTCTCTGAGAAAATATATTAAGAGGACTAACAATGATTTTTTAAATGAATGCTTGAAACATAGTCAGTTGGGAATTTGATCATCTTTTGTATATTATTAGGGTGCAAACATGAAGTGTTGGAGATTAGAGGCTGTGCAGCCTTTGAGCCAGAAGGGTCAGGAGAGACTCTGGGGCAGATGAGGGCTCGAGGGGGTTGTTGGGGTGGAGGAATCCTGGAAAGAAGAATAGGTAGAACTAAAACAATGTTGAGGAACCTGTCCTCCTTTTAGAATAAACTAAGGCAGCTTAAGTTTAGAATACTTAAGAATGGCCTTGGTTGTTCAGATCAGCCACTTAGGGTTATCATACTTGGTGCAAAAGTGGAAAATAGAAAGGAACTCAATGTACAGAAACTGAAGACCATGGCAGGCACTGAAGACCATGGCGGCCGCTGAAGGCCATGGCAGGCCGCTGAAGGCCATGGCAGGCCGCTGAAGACCATGGCAGGTGCTGAAGACCATGGCAGGTCGCTGAAGGCCATGGTGGGCACTGAAGGCCATGGCGGGCACTGAAGGCCATGGTGGCCACTGAAGGCCATGGCAGGCACTGAAGGCCATGGCGGCCGCTGAAGACCCTTGGACAAGACCAGCTGCACTTGCCTTCTGTGAGCAAGGAGACCAAGACTGTGTGGAGGTCCCAGGGTCGCTCCAGCCATGCCTAGAGCCAACTCAATCCTCCTGCAGGCCCCTGGACCATTCTAGTGGAAAGCGAACTAAGGATAATGTGGGGTGAAGGTCTGTCCGCCTAGGAATGCCTAGGCCTGTTGAGAGTTAAAGTTCTGGGGTAGCACATTTTGACACGGTGGACCTTATGTAGCCGTTTGAACATGGCAGTTTTAAGGAGACCTGAGGAACTGGGGATGAGGGATGGGAGAGGGTTTGAGGCCTAGGGGAAAGAGGTCTGTTTTGACTGATATCAGGTAATTGAAAATGAAAGTTTAACTGTTGGCTTTTTATTCGGTATCAAAATGTCACCCTCAAAATGGCTGGGTCAAAGCAGCAATGACAAAATGTCGTGAACCCTGAGTCTCTGCATAAGGCTTAGTCCCTGCGACCTGTAAGTATCTGCAAGTGTGGAGAACTGTCTGCCTCCCCTTGTCTCCCTGCCAGACTTCCGTTGCCTGCAAAATTTGTGAAAACAGAAATTACATCTATCTAAACATTTCTTATCTCGGCATCTCCTCATTTCCTGTTCCATCTGACCAGTCCCTCTCCATCCACACATACCCTACATACCCTTGGAGAGCTCAGTAAATATTTATTGATGATGAAGATAATCACTAAAAATATGTTCCCATCAATGGGATCTGTCTCTTGCCACTCAAGTGTCCTAAACTCATGAGAACTGCTTCATAGATGTGTTCCCTTCATAAAAAAATTTAAAAAAAAATTCCATCCCATCTCATCTCTTCTGAGTTCTGAGAAAATTTGTTTTTAAATACGATACGCTTACCCATCCACCGTGCTGCTGGATCCATGGTAAGAAGTTCTCTTTCAGGTACTTGGTGCCAAAGCCCAGCACCCTGTTCATCGGATGGTTGTCAACAGCTGTGAGCTTGGCCATGACGTCTACTGCAAGGGCAGCCTTAAAGCCCTGAGCTTTGACCTCTGATTCTCCCCTGGTGTCCACACCCATTAGGACCTGGTCTGTGATGGTCTTGAAAACAGAGTAGGACAGCCCATCCTGGAAGTGGCCCATCAAAGCCTTATCTTTCTTCAGCTGTGTACAAGAGAATAAGCACTCAGTACAGTAGCTTGGCTCCAGGAGGCAGACGGAAGTTCTTTCTTTAGCTCAAATGCAGGCCATCAAACCACCCCCTGGAAAACCCTGGATGCTGGTGTCAACCAAGGGAATGGGGATGAAGGCAGCGTCCTGCAGAACCAGAATGGGCATGTACCACTCGGTGAATTCATTCCATCGGCACAAATATGTGTATGAAATGGAACAGTCAGTTCATCTGACATTCAACAGATATTTCCTGAGCACTTATAATGGGCAGCTAGTATGGATGACTGAGATGCAGGTCCTCACTCAAAGGGCTCACAGTCTAGTGGGAATTACAAAACAATGCGATGTGCTTTGCTGGAGGTAGTGTAATGGACAGGATCTGAAGCTTAGGAATCACTGTCTGGCTCAAACCCCTGGATTCACCTCTTACTTAGCTATGCAATCTTGGGGAAATTAACCTCTCAGATTCAGTTTGTCATCTCTGAACTAGGATGGTGATACTATCGATAGTATAGGGTAATTGTTTTCTTTCTTTTTTTTTTTTTTTTGAGACAGGGTTTCACTCCCATTGCCCAGGCTGGAGTGCAGTGGTGTGGTCTCGGCTCACTGCAACCTCTGCCTCCTAGGCTCAAGCGATTCTCCTGCCTCAGCCTCCCAAGTAGATGGGACTACAGGTGTATGCCACCACACCTGGCTAAGTTTTTTCTATTTTTTTTTGTAGAGATGGGGTTTCGCCATGTTGCCCACTCCTGGGCTTAAGCATTCCACCCACCTCAGCCTCCCAAAGTGTTGGGATTACACGCATGAGTCCCTGCACCCAGCCTTCATTTTCTTTTCTTTTCTTTCTTTCTTTTTTTTTTTTTTCTGAGATGGAGTCTCACTCTGTCGCCCAGGCTGGAGTGCGGAGGCGCGATCTTGGCTCACTGCAACCTCCGCCTCCCAGGTTCAAGCAATTCTTCTGTCTCAGCCTCCAAGTTGCTGGGACTACAGGCACACACCACCACACCCAGCTAATTTTTGTATTTTTAGTAGAGACAGGGTTTCACCATGTTGGTAAGGCTGGTCTTGAACTCCTAACCTTAGGTGATCCACGTGCCTCGGCCTCCCAAAGTGCTGGGATTACAGGTGTGGGCCACTGAGCCCATCCCCAGCCTTCATTTTCTTAAGAAACCTTTATTATTATTGTTTTTTAGGGACAAGGTCTTACTATATTGCCCAGGCTGGTCTCAAACTCCTGGCCTCAAGTGATCCTCCCACCCTGGCCTCCCCAGGAGCTGGAATTACAAGTGTGAGCCACTGTGCTTGGCCCTATACTATAGGGTAGTTGAACACTTTATAGTGCTGGACATAGAAGAGGTGCTCTGGAAATGTGAGTCATTTTTCAGGATGCTATGGGAGCATGGAGGTCAGGGAAGACTCCCTTGCGTGCATATGTTCACTTAAAAAAACTCCAATTCATTGATTTTTTTCCCATTATTCTACCCTATTGATTTTACCTCCTGGCCCTCCCTTGAACCTGGTATCTCTCTGCTTTACCTCCTTTGGGCTACCATGCCTTTAAAACAAAATCAATGCTGCCTCTTCTGCTTTTGAAAAATCAGGGCTCATATCAAAAAGCTATATATCATCTTCATTTAAAGCATTCTTGAAATGTCTGTTAATATGCCAGTTGTCATGTGAAAATGGAAATTTCTTAGTGAGCAGGGACAAAATATTTATTTGAAATTCCTCTAGTTCTGTCCTAGAGGAATGATAAGCCAAGTGGGTTTTCAACACATATTGTTTCTAAAAGGGATATCTGGGGGATGAGTCAGATGCGATTGGAAGATTTTGGCAGACCTGTCTTTTCCCTGAACCAAGCCCACTCCCACCATCCAGGCCCCGTCTGGGTTGTGACTCTGCAGCAGGCATGGCCGGCCTCCTCCGTAACAGGGGATGGACTCCTCTTCATCAGTTTTCCAATGGAGGAGGCCAGGCTCAAAACCCTAGCAGGCAGCCAAGTCGGGACTGTGCCAGAACAGTAAAAGAATCAAACGCCACAAAGACAGGGCTTCCATGGGCATCTCCTCACCCCTCCCCTGCCTGTCCCTCTCGGGTGCACCTGGCTCTTTGGCCTTTCCTGGAGGCGTAGGATGGGCCTTTGGGCTGTGTGTGCCCTCGGGACCAGTGGCTCTGCAGATCCCCTGCAGCCTCACACATGGCATTCTGCAGTGGGAGCTTGGCACCCACAGCACAAGGTCACACCTACCATGTGTCCCTAGCAGAGCTCCCTAGTGGGGAAGTGTGTAAAGGAAATAACAACCAAGGCTTTGCCATAAACAATGTAAAATATCCGAACTCCTCAACAGAGAGCAGCAGGCAAAGGGAGGGTTTTGAAAGTGGTAGTTTGTGGGGGTGAAAATGAAACCATCACTCTTCACAACCTGAGAGATGGCCTTCGTCCCACCTCCAGCACCCCCACTCCACCTTGCCCACCTCCCTGACCACTGACCGCAAGTCACCACTTAGGGAAGCTGGGAAGGAGGCTGCCTCGAGAGCCACAGAAGCTCCAGGTTGTAAAGAGCCCTTGAGGATGTCTAAAGGATCCCTCGGAGTTCTGTGCTGAACTGCTAACTGGTATTGGCACCTACTTGCAATTCTTCCTGTGACAGGAAGATCATTCCGTCACAAGGCGCCCGTTGACTCTGATGGGCAGCCTGGAGTACCCATTCTCCAGGAATGGAGGTTCGTTCTCACCATAAGTAGAAATCAATCACCCCATACTAGGCATAATTTCTGTATCCATGATACTAGCTCTGGAGAAATGCAGGGGTGCCCTTAAATCACGCATCCTGTTCTATCTCTTGCTTCCTCTGCACCCCTCTCTACCTTCTACTTGTGGCCCCAAAGCTCACACACCCCGTTCTCTTTTCTTTAACCTAATATCCCTGGTTTTCTCGCTGTTTCTCATTCTGTCCCATCTCCCAGGTGCTTCGCCCTCTGGGTCACCAGTCTCTGGGCACACTTCTGACAAAGCTATAGAGACAGGAGCTGTTTCGTCTTCCTGCAGAACCTCCCATCCCCACCCCCGGGGTCTGACTCCCTCGCCACAGATTCTGGCAAAACAAGGATCTATGTCTGCAAGCCAGATGATTGACAGATCCTAGAGACTACCCAGTCGTCTGTGGGTTATGGACCCAGGAGGCACAGAGAAGCCCTTCTGACTCTGTTGAAGGTTTGCTCACCAACTCTTTACCTGAAGGCAACTCTCACCCGTTCCTGAGTGGAAGGATGGGTCTCAACTTCCAAATGGCAGGAAATCCATACATTCCCCCAGTAACACTAGCACGCCTCCCTGGCTGAAATGCTAAGAGAGCCCTTAAACAGACAACAGTCCAGCAACTACAGGGGAAAAAGATTCCAGAACGTATTCCAGCTTTGGAGCAACCGTGGGACACAGATATCCAGGCTGCAAAGCAAACGCGAATCTAAACTTCAGTGAGGATCAGTTACATAGGGAACGACATTAATAATTCCATCCAGCAAATTTTAATTTACTGGTGTCTTTTCCTGCAATAACAAGCTCCTTGTTCAGTTTCCAAAAATTCCAAGGAGGCTCCAGAAGGTTTACTTATGTTTTCCAAAGTGACTCATTTTTGAGATTCTACCAGCATGAAGAATTTTGACTCCAAGGGAAATAAAATTTAGGACTAAGTAGAAACCAGGACTTGGAAAAGGAATAAGGTAGGCCGGGCACAGTGGCTCACGCTTGTAATCCCAGCACTTTGGGAGGCCGAGGCTGGTGTATCACCTGAGGTCAGGAGTTCGAGACCAACCAGGCCAATATGACGAAACCCTGTCTCTACTAAAAATACAAAAAATTAGCTGGGCGTGGTGGCGAGCATCTGTAGTCCCAGCTACTCGGGAGGCTGTGGCAGGAGAATCGCTTGAAACTGGGAGGTGGAGGTTGCAGTGAGCCAAGATTGTGCCACTGTACTCCAGCCTGGGTGACAGAGCGAGACTCTGTCTCAAAAAAAAAGAAAAGGAATAAGGTTGCAACCTGGAGTACAATTCCATCCTCGTGTACTAGTGCACGGGCACAGAAATCAATCACATCAGTTCAAGGTGTTCCATACCTTTCTTTCCAACTGATCCCCTGAATATTTCAGCAGCTCAACAATTTTGGCTATTATTTGTTCTTCTTCATCTGTCGGGGAAAATTCCAGTTATTTCTTTTAAGAGAAACAAAAAATAATCTTACATTTTTTCAGGGAGCATGAATGCTTGTGGCTTGGTAAGGGCTGGAGGAAGAGGCATGCTCTTTTTTTTTTCTGAGACGGAGTTTCACTCTTGTTGCCTAAGCTGGAGTGTGATGGTGCGATCTTGCCTCACTGCAACCTCCACCTCCCAGGTTCAAGTGATTCTCATGCCTCAGTCTCCCAAGTAGCTGGGATTACAGGCATGTACCACCACGCCTTCTATTTTTAGTAGAAATCAGGTTTCACCATGTTAGCCAGGCTGGTCTCGAACTCCTGACCTCAGGTGATCCACCCACTTCGGCCTCCCAAAGTGCTGGAATTACAGGCATGAGCCACTGCGTCTGGCAAGAAGCATGCTAATTCTTACCAAGTAAATCTTACCTCGCCTCTTCTGCCCAGACACAAACCACACTAGGGATTTCTCCTACAGCCCCTTCCTTTCCTTCTTTCCCCTTCTTCCTTTGCTCAGTCCCCCAGCTCTCAGTGTGACATTCATCTCTATAGTTACCTTAAGCTTGTTGAAGACATCGGTTTCACAGCACAGGATTCCGTCTATGAAGGTATTTAAGAGGAATATTCTTCTGGTTTTTGGATTTTTCCTCAGCAGATAGTGCTTTTATCTTATGGACACCATAAATCTCATATTTGATTATATTTCCCTCTTTGGGTTAGTTGCTAGAAAGTATAGAGCCAAATTTGGGGCCCGCATCTAAGACAGTGGATTGTCTTGCTGGCCTACATTTTGGAAATTAACCTAATTCCCAAATCCGTCTTATTTTCCTGTGTTTGTTTTCTTTTTACAAAGATATCTTTCAAATTGATGGATTTTATTTGACTAAAATGTATTCTTTGTATGCTGGGTCTTGACAATAAGGTGGGATAAGTAAGTAAAATTAATAAATTCCCCCATGGCCAAGGCTAAAAGGGCAGATGGATAGGAACGTGGCCACAGTTGGTGTATGGTGTGTGTTGGGGGGGACAGGGGCGGTGGAGTACATGAGTCTTGCTCTGTCACCCAGGCTGGAGTGCAGTGGCACGATCTTGGCTCACTGCAACCTCCACCTCCTGGGTTCAAGTGATTCTCCTGCCTCACTCTCCCAAGTAGCTGGGACTACAGGTGTGCGCCACCACGCCCAGCTAATTTTTTGTATTTTTAGTAGAGATGGGGTTTTGCTATGTTGGCCAGGCTGGTCTTGAACTTCTGGCCTCAAGAGATCCAACTGCCTCGGCCTCCCGAAGTGCTGGAATTTCCCATGTAAGCCATCGCACCCAGGCTTGGCAAAATAAATCTTCTTCTTCTTTTTTTTTTTTTTTTTTTTTTTGAGACGGAGTTTCACTCTTGTCACTCAGGCTGGAGTGCAGTGGTGTAATCTCAGCTCACTGCAACCTCCGCCTCCCAAGTTGAAGTGATTCTCCTGCCTCAGCCTCCCGAGTAGTTGGGATTACAGGCACCTGCCACTACGCCCAGCTAATTTTTTTGTATTTTTAGTAGAGACAGGGTTTCACCATGTTGGCCAGGCTGGTCTTGAACTCCTGACCTCAGGTGATCCACCTTCCTTGGCCTCCCAAAGTGCTGGGATTACAGGCATGAGCCACTGCGCCTGGCCAAAATAAAAGTTCTAAATTGAGTGAGACCTGTCTCAGACATACTGGGTTAACACTCTCTTAGGGAAAGTTGCTGGCACAGCTGCCTGTATTTCTCCTGTGCACAGAGGATGAGGTCATCTTAGCTTTAGCCTGGTTTAGGGGTAGCATTTCATCTCCCAGGTCCACATGGTATAGCAATAAAATGTGGACACTGTCTTTTTAGCTGACTCAGAGGCCTCCTCCTCTCCTCCAGCTCCTCACAGGGTCCCCTGGGTCTCTGTGGCAGCTGTGGCCCCTTTACTGTGGCTACTGCTCTGCATCAGGGGTTGGGAGACACCGATACCTTTGGAGGGAGAAGCTTCACCTTGTTCTTTAGGGTGCTGCAAACCCAAGAGCCACCTTGGCCTCACTGTTAGGGGAGTTAGAAAGGGGTTTTTCGGCAGATAGCGAGGGTAAGGAAGTTCTCGGTAAGGTTTTCCTTTTAATGAAAAGCAGCCCCCAAATCATTTTCTTTTCTAACAAAGAGTAGCCTGTAAAATTGAGTTGCAGACATAGACAAGCAAGCTAGAAGCTTGCACAGTGAATGTTGGCAGCTGTGCCAATCGGAAAAGGCCACCTGGAACTAGGCATGTCCAACATGGTGGCCTCATTTTCCCTTTTCCTTTCCAACCACGTGTGCCTAGGGAGCAGACAACATGGCACCGGCCAGGTGGCAAGCCCACTTGCATAATAAGATTCGGGTGGGGTGGCCAGCTTCCCCCATGCTATGTAAACATCACACCTGGTTCAACTGATCTTTGGGCCCTGTGTAAATCAGACACCACCTCCTGAAACCTGTCTATAAAATCCGGCGCACTCTGTCACAGGCCGGAAGTCACGTTTGGGTTCCTCTCTCTGTCTCAGGAGAGAGAGCTGTTCTCCTTTCTCTTTGTTTTGCCTATTAAACCTCTGCCCCTAAACCCACTTCTTGTGTGTGTCCGTGTCCTCGATTCTCTTGGCATGAGACAACAAACCTCAGGTATTTATCCCAGACAATGAGGCTGCATCATCACAACCTCCACGGTAGTTTGTGGAGAGAGCCAGGAGCAAGAACTGCGTTGGGGGAATGCCGGGCAGAGCTGCTCTTCCAGTGGCACTTGGCCTTGCTCCCCTTCACTCTCCCCTCAGTGCCTCGAGTTACCACCAGCCTGATGGGATCTACAGTCTCACCTATTGCTATGGTTTGGGTGACACCTGACCCCGCCTTGTCACTACTTCTCAGTTCCGCACCATGTCTTGCACCATAGCTGGTGCCTGACAACCCGCTGCTTTTTCACAAAGCCCGAAAGCAATGTCATAATATAAATCCCTGGCTTGACGCTCCAACTGTACCTGGTGCAAATTGGCCCGGGGTCACTGGTAACATGATCAGATCTAACATTGCATTTCCCGCCACAGACAAGACTGAATGCGGGCTTTGTGTCTACTCCTCTCCTTCTGTAGGAGACTTTCCTTTCTGACTTAGTGAAGAGCTGGGCGCGTTGGTTCAACCTGCTGGGGCAGCCCCCTTGCCTTGGGCTGGTGTCTCAAGCTGGAGCTCATTGCCCACAGCCTGTGACTGTCAAGCCCTCAGTCCAGGCAGCAGGGACTGTCAAGTTGCCAAGCCCGGGATGGATAAATACACAAATGCTCCTGCGCCCCTGCCTGGCAAACACTCCACCCGGGGAAGTAAAGCTTACCTTTCTTAGAACTTGAAGCTATAGGCAGGCGGTCTTTGAGCTGGGAGGAGCCACCCTGACGTACGATAATCTCTTTGGACTTGAAGCCTCCTGCCTGGGTCTCTTGTGGTGGTGGCCACGAATAAACAATTTCAGCCACTCGGTTGGCAATGGAAACGACTTTGGGGTCCACAGCTGAAACAAGATAAAATGGTGCTGAGAGGCCCTTCCCAGAACTTCATCTGGCTCATTGGTATGCAAAGTTGCCTGAAATGAAAAGACCAGCCCAGAAGAGAAGGAAACTGCCTGGGAGTATGTGTGCTGGGGGAGGGTCGTTCTTCAGAAAGGACTGAAAGTTGCCTGGCAGAGGCCGGCATGTGGGAGGGGTGCATGCAGGAATGATTGTCACCTTGAAACAATTGGCCTGCTGCACACTCTTTTTGAAGTCTTGCAAAATTAGGGTCTCCTTTCCCCTTTGCAAGGGAAGAAACACAAAAAGGAGTGCTTAGCTCTTTACTTCAAGGAATGCTCATTATGCTTTTATTTTTATTCTTTTTTCTCGACATGCTTTATACCTCTAAGAGCCAGCCCCTACGTGCATAGGAGGACATTCAATAGTTTGACAAGCATCTGGGGGTTGGTCACTGAGGAAAGAAATATCCCTGCTCTCAGGGCAATGAGATTCATCATCCAAGTCCATTATCAAGTGAACCTAATTCCCATCGCTGGTACAGTCCTGCCTTTTCTCTCCCTTCCATGTCTACTGGAAAACATTCAATTAATGCTTATAGGTAAACAAGGATGCAGTCAGCACAACTTATGGCCTTCAATAATTTACAACCCGAGAAAAGAGTTACGTCATGTATTTGCACACAGGATTGTAGAATAAAGCACTTTGAGATAGGACGGTGAAATGGCATTGGCCCGTTGAATGTCGTAGCCTATAAAAGACCAGTTGCCTTTGCCCCTGAACGGGGACAAGGGGAGGTGGGGTGGGCAAATGGCACGGCTGAGTTGCTGGGTGGTAAAATTTTCACTGTTGATTTGTCACTAAGTTCTAACCTTTTATTTGTTTATTTACTTTTTTCCAGACAGAGTCTCACTGTCACCCAGGCTGGAGTGCAGTGGTGTGACCACAGCTCACTGCAGCTTGGACTTCTCAGGCTCAAGCGATTCTCCCATCTCAGCCTCCTGAGTAGCTGGGATGACAGGTGTGCATCACCCCATCTGGCTAATTTATTGAAATTCTTTTTCTAGAGATGGGGTCTCCCTATGTTGCCCAGGTTGGTCTTGAACTCCTAAGCTCAAGCAATCCTCCCACGTCCTAGCTCCCAAAGTGCTAGGATTACAAGGATGAGCCACACCACACCCAGTCTAAATTCTAAACATTTAAAAACTTGTACAATCTGTCTTGGATGCCGTGTGGAGCAGCTGGGTTTTACCATGTAACATTTGAAGAATAGTACTAGGTAATTCACAGGACTTGAAGACAGTAATGGAGTGGCGTTTTGGACAGAAGGTTGGTGTGCTCAAACTCCTAGGGCACCCGTGGGCTTTGTACAGCCCAGTAGGTAAGAGAGGCAAGTAGAGGGCCTGAGAGGGACTGCGACACAAGAGAAACAGGTTTTGACATCATACGGAGCTGCCAAGGTGGCTCCTGATCCCTCTCCCTGGATTCCTCCACAGCTGAAGGCATCAGTGTCCTCTCTTCAGCCCTCCAGCCATTCACGGAAAGGCCACAGAAGATAATGCTCTGTCCATGATGCCATCCTCTGGTGGACATCTGACTCCTAAAGCCATCTTTTTCACGGTTAGTGTACAGGGTTCAAAGACCGATAAGAAGCGAATGACGGAGAGAAGAAAGGTCAAGAAGAAAAGGATCGATGTCTTTCCTCCTCATTTTAAGAACCAAGCAAAACAGACTTTCCACTTTGTCATCCCCTTATTGCAGCCCAGCCAGCCTCTGCTGGATCTCCGGCCCCCCATGGCCCCTGGCAAAGAAAGAAATGGCAAGAGGCTGGCTTCCAAAACCGAGGGAACCTTCCCTGGCCTGTGTCCTCAGGAGATGATAAAGGAAGGCAGGCCTCTGCTGCCTTTACAACCTTGTGCAGCTCATCTAGGGTGATCAGCATGTGGTTCTACCACCGGAAAGCACCCTGTGCCCATCTTGCACATTAAGAAGGTCCATGAAGGGTCTCAAAGGCTCTGTCCCCTCGTCCCCTCATAAGGCAGGGCAGCCACAAGATCACCAACAGGTTCAAAATTACCCAATCTGGCTAACTGTGTACAGGGTATTGATTTATTTATTTTTTCCTAGACAGAGTCTCGCTCTGTTGCCCAGGCTGGAGTGCAGTGGCCTGATCTCGGCTCACTGCAACCTCCGCCTTCTGGGTTCAAGCCATTCTCCCTTCCTCAGTCTCCTGAGTAGCTGGGATTACAGGCGCCCGCCACCACGCCCAGCTAAAATTTTTATATTTTTTCAGTAGAGACAGGGTTTTGCCATGTTAGCCAGGCTGGTCTTGAACTCTTGACCTCAGGTGATTCTCCCGCCTCAGCCTCCCAAAGTGCTGGGATTACAGCAGGGTATTGATTTTCTATGGGTTTGTGGACATGCAGTGAGACATGTCCAGGAGAAACTATAAGCAAACATGTTCCCACAGATTCACTAGCTCTAGTTAAAATTCCCATCTTGGATATTTTCATTTTAAAACATGAAAAAGAAAAGATTCTATTCTTGTCAGACTTGGTCCTGTCTGATAGGCGAGGGAACACTGGATGGGGTGGGGAGAAGATAGAAAGGCTGTCTGTTCTTTGGAGTCTGTTTGGGGGTCATTGTGGGACCAGGAAGAACAGGCCAACGGGGTCAGAAGGTCCCATTTCGCCTGTGGTCTGAGGCATTTGTTTTAAAGAGAAAGGGCAGGGGTTTGGGGTGCGACTTCCTCATGGACTGTTCTTTCCCACTCAGTATCCACTTTCTTCTTCTTCCTTAGTAACAGACCCCTAAAATGTGAGGGGCAGCTGTGAACCCAGCTGAACAAACTATATTCCCCGGGTTCCCTTGCAGTAGGGAAGGGCCAATGAGATGTCAGAAGCTGGGAGCAGTTTCAAGAAAGCTCTCTAAAAGGGAACTGAGGCTGGGCGCAGTGGCTCACGCCTGTAATCCCAGGCTTTTGGGAGGCCAAGGCAAGGTCATCATTTCAGGCCAGGAGTTCGAGACCAGCCTGGGTAACATGGACCCCATCTTTATAAAAGATAAAATAATAATAATAATAAAACAAAAGGGAGCTGAATTACCTAGAAAGAAGGCACCCTTTGCCCTTCCTTTGCTTCCTTTTTATTCCTGCCTGAGATGTAGACATGATGGGTGAAGCCCCAACAGCCACCTTTAGAATATAAGGTGACTTTGAGGTGGAAGCCACTAGCTGAGAGATGGCAGAATTCCCAGGAATTCTTGTTTTCACCCCTGTCACCCAAGCTGGAGTGCAATAGTGCAGTCTCAGCTCACTGCAACCTCTGCCTCCCAGGCTCAAGTGATTCTCCTCCTTTAGCCTCTCGAGTAGCTGAGACTACAGGCGCAATTTTTGTATTTTTTTTTTAGAAAGACAGGATTTTGTCATGTTGCCCAGGCTGGTCTCAAACTGTTTGGCTCAAGCGATCCACCCACCTCAGACTACCAAAGTGCTGGGATTACAGGCATGAGCCACCTTGCCTGGCCATTCCCAGGAATTCTTAATAACTTTGTGAAGCTGTCATATCAGGCCTGAGCTGCCAAACTTTTGTCCTCTTGTAAGGGAGAGAAAAGCAAACCTGTATATTATTTAAGCCATGGGTATTTGGGTGTGCCATTGTATATTGCCGAACCTCACCTTAACTATGACATTCCACATGAGCAAATCATAGCTATGGAGAAACAAAAGGTTCACAAGTAAAAGAGCCTGGGCTGGCAGTCTTTAAAACTAGTGTTGATGTCCATTTCTCTACATCCTGAGGCCTCTTCCTAACATAATTTGGTCTTGGGACATAATCTCACAGTTCCCACGTAAGCCTGGTACTGAGGCCTGGCAGTGGCTGCACAAGGCTACATAGTGACCTTCAGTTAAAATAACCCAGGTGAGGTCGGGCGTGGTGGCTCACGCCTGTAATCCCAGCACTTTGGGAGGCTGAGGCGGGCAGATCACGAGGTCAGGAGATGGAGACCATCCTGGCTAACAGGTGAAACCCCATCTCTACTAAAAATACAAAAAAATTAGCCAGGCGTGGTTGTCGGGAGCCTGTAGTCACAGCTACTCGGGAGGCTGAGGCAGGAGAATAGCGTGAACCCGGGAGGCGGAGCTTGCAGTGAACCGAGGTCGGGCCACTGCACTCCAGCCTGAGTAACAGAGCGAGACTCCGTCTCAACAACAAACAAAAAAGAACCCAGGACAAATCCAATTTGTAAGGCCTGATTTGTATGTGGCAAAATAGAAATAGAATGTGAGGCTCTTTTGGGTCACGCCCAGTGTAAAACCAACACAAGTATCACAAGTAAAAATATGTAATTAACTGACTGAATGCAAAAGCGAGGAGGAAAGTGAGACGGGAAGATAAGCTCTACAGATGTGCTGAAAGCCTTCTTAGGAGGTCATCAGTTTTCATTTTGTATGGAGAACATTATTCAGCCACAGGTACTATTCAGCACATGAACACATCACCTGAGTGTTTCTGAATTTAATCTTTAATTCTCAATCTCACACAGAAGTTTTCTTTCCCTACTGAAAAAAGAAAGAAAAGCTTCTCTTAAAATTTTAGAAAATAAAAAAATGTCAAATGACACTCCAGTAAATACTGAAATACAGAATGCAGTTTATCGCAGGCAAAACCGGAAGCTGAAAGTCTGTAAAAGCTTTCTCTGTCTGCTGGCGAAGTCCACAGTACAGGCCAAGCAGAAAAGGCCATTTCGGTGCCTCCAAACTGTTCTTTGCCCCAGAGCCCAGATGCCACCCCCGGCAGAAGGAGCCGTGGCTGGGCGAGGGTGGCTGAGGGGGGGGGAGGCAGGTGTGGAGGGGAGCACCCCAGGGGGCCACTCCCTCTTGCTCTAGACCTGCCTTAGCTGGGCAGGGTTCAGAGAGCAGAGGCCTTGCTGTGAAAGTTAAACAAGTCCAGGGAGAGGCCCGGACTTCCAGTGAGTCCAGGCTCTGCTGCTTCCTGGCTGTTTC